CGGGGAGGGCGGCGAGGAGGGCGCCGGGGGGTCGAGGCGCAGCGTGTCCCCGAGGGAGTCGCGCGAGCCGTTGACGGGTGTGGGCACGATGCTGACGAGGTCGCCTGGCACGCCGGGCGCACCGGGTCCGCCGCCCTGCGCCCGAGGTGATATAGGCCGGCTGCTCACCGATTGGTCGTCGTCGGAGTCCACCTCCGCTATCCGAAATAATGCTGAACTTTGGCCCCTATAACCTATAATAAAGTGCAAAAAATGAGTCTTTGTTTGTATATATAGTCTTTATTTCAACTTTTTTATGTTTAAAAGTAATGGTTTTACAAATATATTACCTGTGCTAGTGCTTGGTTGTGCTAAATTCTCTTCAAATTGATTAAAATTAGTAAAGTTATTGTTATCACTACTGTCCTGAGCCATGGCAGAGCCTGCGGACAAACACGAAATATACAGAACATTAAAATTAAACTACCGTTCATTTCTTTACCTTTGTGAATATTATCGACATCAATTTCTTTTTATACATTAGTCCGCACACTTACCGTTGTTTTTTATATTCATAACTTTCCTATAACTAGTGACCTTAGTTTTCCTCTTTGTAGTCCTCGATAAGTTCATTCGACGTCGCAGTGGTCGTAAAATCTGAGATACAATTTATTAAAAATTAATACTAACAATTAATGTCATAGGTATTGTGGACTGAACATAGACCTTTAGGTCATTTTCGTATCCGATCTCTTTGGTGGTCATAGATTAAACATTCTGTCAGAGTTGGCATACTGGTCACTGAGAACTTTTGCCTTTTTAAATATAGAAAAAAACGAATAGCGCGGGAAATCGAAGAGTTTGCAAGATGCAGTAATTATTAATGTTGGAGAATTATCAGTGAAGGTTTTGAATTTATACAGGTAATATCAATTCCAAAAACAATGTTATGTAAAAAAGATAAATAAAATGTCGTAAAATCTATCGATGTAGAGCGTGTGAGTCTCACCCTGCCGGGGTTCCTATAGACGTTGTGGGCGGGCTCATCGGAGTCTGTGCGGTCGCTGGAGGGTGCGGAGAGAGGTCGCGGGGGGCGCGGCGTGCGGGTCGCGCGGGGCGTGGTGCGACGCGGGCCACGTGCACGCCGCGGCGCCGCACGCTTGCCCTTCACCCCCGCACTCCCACCCCCGGCCCCGCCCGCAGCCGCACTATCACACTTACCACTGGATTTGCTCACACATGAACGAGTTTGTTTGTTACGCCTGCGAATATATCCATAGCTTCTATGTAAACTATCGTATGTTTGAAATGAACATTTTGTACACCTTAAAATACCTTACCTTTAAATATTAGTATGATTAATTATAAAGCATCAAACATAAACATACAACAGAAAATGTAAATTTACAGTCCTTAATTTTATTTACACAGATATAAATATCTATCAAGAGAATTAAAAAAAAATAACATTAAACATAGTCAAAATTGTAGCTTACGATAGTCTATTGTAATAATATATCCAGTCTAATGTTCTTCATTTTTTGCCTAAAGTTGATCACAAGACGATTCTGAGTTCGACTTTTAATTTTAATTTTCAATAACAAAAGTAGTTTTAATTACAAAATAACTGACCTTTGTGACCCTCGCTTCTGTGCGCGCGTGTTTTTGGGATACCGCGAGGCAACAAGCCGGGCCAGCCTGTTGGGACATCGCTGACTGCGGTTGCCGTTTGGATTTACTGAAAATTATAATTGTATGAGGTACAGTCGGCTCTATTTGCGGTGGTACAGTTACGAAAAATTGCCTTGCATTCCACAACAAATAAATGTAAAGAAAAAAATTATCAATGTTTTTACACGTTATTTACTCTGTAGCCTTGACAATTATATCGTATTGAATACATTATAGTTAACATTCACTGATCATTATTATAAGAGACGCTCAGATGTTTAAATTATCAGTAGCAAAGCTTACCTCGTTTAGGATGCAGGGTGAGGAGATCGGCGACAGCGCGGTCAGAGTCATCCGAGTCTACGGCGGGAGGCGATGCGGAGCTGGACGCGTCCAACGAGTCCGTCTCGGCCGCCAGGCACTCCAGCTCGCGCTGCACCAATGAGTCGAAGAAAGCCATCATACGTTGGTCTTCCACTGTCGATTGCTCCGCGTAGTTGTGTGAAATATACTAAAAATAAATGAATACATTTTTTTAAGATGCTATATATATATATATATATATATATATATATATATATATATATATATATATATATATATTTACGTCTTTAAATAAAAAGTAATTTTTAAAAATATTTTAAAATGTGTCGAAATAAATAAAAATTAATTATTTCTAAAGATTTTTTAATATGTTTATAAATCTAATGTCATATATAATAACAGTAAATTCGTTTTCTACTAATTTACTATTAAATTACATATATTTACGTACATTTTTTAATACGTATCTCGTAGACGGCCACTCCACACAAAGTAACAGATTGTACTGCACATGCACTTCACGAAATATACGCACCAAAGTGTTTACAGCTAAGATCTAGAAGCTTCCATATGAAATTATAATGATCGGAATCGAATATTTATGAACTGTTTGTTACGATTATCCCTGTTACGTAATACTTTGCACTATACAGGATGTTACAAAAGCCCTACATAACAAATTTTGCTAACCAATAAAGAGTATGTCGTATGAACTACATACATTAGTTTGGAATATACATTATAGATGTAATTTTTTTTTAAGCGGGTAACAGAAAACGCTTGCACGCAAATTCAGAATAATAACAGGATGCAAAGACAAGCCTAAACAAATGCGACTTACAAGGCTGTAAATTACTTAAAAAGGCAGTAACTTCCGTCTATGTATATATGTGCTTTTAATGAAATCAATTTTGTCAATACATCTAACCCTGTATCAGATCAGCATATGCATGAAGATTGACTATGACTGACGTCAACACGTATGAATATGAAATGTGTAAGTACACATTTCATATTCATCTTGAATAAAACTTCCATTAATCAACGAAATCGAATGTAGGCCACGATAAAGTCTTTTGCACACTTTTATTTCGTTTCTTTTAGACCTAAGTTTATCCTATTATTTTAAGAATATAAAATGGGCTTATTTTGATTAATATTAGATTATTTATGTTCTACCTAAGTGATTTAGTATTCATTGAGACAGAGAAAAAGTGCTACATAGTGTATAATGTATTTTCAGACCTGTCCACTATGATGTACGAGGGAGACATAATCCTCGTGGCTGTAGATCTCGCGCGGGTTGTCAGAGCCCTGCGCCTCCTCCAACAGAGATCCGCGCATCTGTGGGTACTCCAGCGCGGACCATACCTGATTGCAACGACGGTTTTTATTAACAAGTAATAGTTATTAAAAAAAACTCTAATTAATATTTCGTTGAGTGAATTCAAATGTTGAATTAACACCTACCTTAATAATTTTTTCAACTCCTGAGGACGCGATTAAGCAGTACTGTGAGTTGTAGCGAACTTGATTAACTATAGACCTGTGCCCGTACAATACTATGTGCGGCGGTTCCACTATCATATCTGTAATTTTTTTATTTACTTTGATCATTTATAACTTAGATTTATATAGACTCTCATAGACAACACAAAACTCTACTTTATTGTACTACTAACCGAAGTCCCCACTATCGGGTATCTTCCACATATATAGATTGAAGTCATCAGAGCCGGACAGCACAAATTGGTCGCCTTTGCCAGCGAAGCAGCAGCTCTTCATTGTGCATGAGTTGTAGTAATCCTGGTGGTAAAACTCCGCCACGGGATCGGGTGAGTGCACCGCGTATAGCACAGGCGCCAAGCGACGTCGCAGCGCAAGAATGTGAGTGCCCGCGGAATTAAAGCGGACGCTCATACTATTCTGACATGTACCGTTGTTGCCAAAGTAGCGGAGGACTGGGCTGTAAGCGGATGTTACATTATTGACTATTACAGTAAATTTTAAGCGACGTAACATTTGTATACTAACGGTATTGCTATCTCTGTTCTATTCGAAGAGAATGACTGCAAGAGCTATATTATAACAGTGGAAATTCAGTTCTAAATATACCAATGCTTTTTAGTATGGGCCTTGTCGTTTATTAGAGCCGTATAACTGTAAGATTTTATTTTTATTTACTTTGCCTCGTAAAAGCGTTTATAGGAAGCCTAAGTTTGTGCCTTTAATAAAAGAGTATAAACGTTCATTTAAAAAAAACATCGATGCTAATGTATACAATAACAGATTCATTTTGTTTTTATAAGGTTCAGTTCTGTGTTCTTATTATTCGAAAGTTCTTTCATGCTTAAATGTTTCTAACAAACGGAGATATAAACGAAAAACATAATACCGTTAAATATCTAAAAATTTGGATGTTGTATTTAAGCAATATATTGAAAATAAATTAATAAGACATTTTTGTACTTGTATTATATTTACTTAAATACAGATCTCAAATTATAGAAACCAATCTATATATAGACTAAAATAATTATTATCCACGTCTTAATTGCCTATCAGTTAAACATACAGTGCTTTTCACTTTAATTAAGAAATGGTCCATGTCACATCAAAAGTACTTACTGTTTCGGTGATCGCAAGTCCCACAGTGCGACGCCGCCGCGCGCGTTAGCTGACACCAACACGCCCACTTGTTGCGGGTGGAACATAACACCGTGGAACGCCTTGCGACTCCGCGATATCACCAGTGATTCTATACAACGAAGACATGTACATAATTGTACATTTTTATTTATTCAAAATATTAATAGCATTTTAGTATGAATTCTTAATTAGTTTGTTGCACGGAATAGTGTTAAAGTTCGTTGCTGTACAATTTTTGCATAATTAGAATACCGCGAATCAACCTGACTGTACTTTTTAGGACTGTGTCTGAGAAGTCTGATGCATTGATTAGTTGATGTGCTTTAAACAAAAATAATCCACAGTAAAATAAAACTTAACAATATTTAAGTAAACAGTTTCAAAAATCGAAGCAGGAAAAATTTTAATAAACATGACATGATAATCTGTTTACAATGAATTTTAAACAGGAATATTAAAATAAGGTCATTCAGATAGTGTTTGGAGAACTGCGTATCACCTTTAGAATAATCCATAATAATAAAAAAAATTGTTGAGATTTTTTTTTAATGCATTAAAAAAATTGTTAAATGTTTCAAAATATTCTACAGGCCAAGCTAGACAGTGACAACTTTAACTTGAAAATTACTTATTACTAGGAGATAATCAGAGTTACATTTATAGATATAGGCCACAAATTGACATTGCCAGTGCAAAATATTTTTCTTTTATGGCATTTAAAAACACCAGTCCACTGTTAGTTTTATTAACATTTATGGACATATTGTCATCCCTAACATTATCTTTGACAAAATATATGTTAATGTGTCACTGCAATTAAGAAATAAAAACATAAAGAGAAAAAACTTAGTCTCATGAACCTTACCGTGAACAGATTGTCTTGTATCAAAAAGCAGCAAGCGGCCATCATTCCCTGCTGTAGCCACCACTCTCTCATTAAAAGGGTCAATACTGAGGCTGCATACTGCCCTCTGGTGTTGAAGAACTTCTAAGGGGCATTTGCTTTCAAGGTCGTGCACAATGACCTGTTTAAACATACATAATTTTTTCAAAACATATATTACTTTAAATTTGAAGTCATGTAGTCTAAAAGCTATGTATATTGCTGTTTTTAATTTTAAAAAATGTTGAAAAATATTATAACATTTTAATAACTGTGTTAGTGACCACTGTTATATTTAAAAAATAAAAAAGAAGCTTTTGTTTTAACTTACAATATCATCATTACCACCAGAATAAATTTTCTGGTTATCACTTGTGATTCCAAGACAGAATATATTTGATTGGTGGACTGCTTTCATAGCCTCTGGCTTCCCATGATCAAGGATGGCCTGTCCAAACTGCCATAGCATCACCCTCCTGTCATCTCCACCTAAAAATATGTATTACAACAATATGAACATGGAATATTTCGAGACTACTCAAAAGTTTACCATCAAAATATGTATCTGGCCAGAAATATTTATTAACACAGAGATAAATTATTTTTCTTAAAGAGACAGTCATGAACAGTCTCATGTTGCCTCAAAAGCGATCATTTTTTTTAATTTAATTGAATTAATTTATGCAATTTTTAAGTGTCAATAAAAAAATTATAATTTGTAATATCTTTCGTTAATGTGAATTTGAAAATTTCTATGATTAGAAATTTAATATATATGTCGATATGGACAAACAACAACATAACTGTGCCAGTTTTATACGGTATCAATTTGTTATCAATGTGTATTATTGCTTCGATAATAGAAATCTAATCATTCAACAAATCATAAGACATAAATGTTATGAATTAAATATTATTTATTCGAATCCTCACGAAAATATAAATGGAATAGACTGGTAAACATAAGTTTTATTATATTCAAGAATGCAAAATATATTTTACCCGATACAAGTAATTCGCCATTGCTGGAAAACTCGATAGCGTTTACACATCCGAAGTGGCACACTAAATCCCGACGATACAAATTTTTTGCAGCATTAAGACGTTTACTAAACAACTGTGATTGAACATCAGTTATAAGTCCGTATTCTCTTTTAGTTATATAAGGTAAAGGGTTTGCAATATTCGCCATATTTAGACGATTACTACCATTCCATTTTCCAGCGTATTAAATACACCGAACACTTCACTCTTTGACGATCAGCTGTATTTTATTTTTAAACATATTTGACGTTCCGTGTTGTTATGCATAAGTCAAGCTTTTCAATTAATTTCTTTCGATAAAGGTTAATACTTTTTCAAGATAATATATTACATCATAATTATATCTTAAACTCGGACTTTAAGTAACTTCAATTTATGTGATAATACATAAGTGAAAATCTTTTTGCTATGGAACAACTTCGTCAAGTTTTTTTTTTTAAATATAATCTGTTTTGTACTTTAAATTTTTTAAAGTCTATGGGTGGAGTTTGAAAGCTTGTCCAAAAGTGTTACCATGTTTGCTTTTAATGTTGGACAATTTGGGAATAAATACCTTCTTTGGAGGGGATAAAAACCGATTTCACATTTCAGCTAGAATATACATGACGCAGTTCTGAAATCAGCGTCATAATTAATTAAAAAAACACGCACATCAATAGGCATGATTTAATAGCCACAAGGGAAATTTAACAAATATTTTTTTACATTATCCATTACAAATTACATTAGGGAAATTTATAATTTTGATGTTTAAACATTCCCATGTCATTTTCTCTATGGTTTTTCTAAAACTCATCCAAATTCATCACATATTTTATATACTCTTTGATTCATCAGCCAAAGTGACAGATGACAGTGACAACAATAAGTGACGGACACGTGCTTTTGTTTGTACTCTTTTTACTTAAAAACTGTAAGAGTTTGAGCATTATTTTTAAATTGGAGGAAGAAAAAATATGGTTATTTCTACAATGAAAAAACCGACAGTTAAAGTATCAGGCAAGTATATATGACTATTGAAGTAAGCATACTATAGTAACAAAATTATTTAAAACTTTTTTCGTATAGTTTCAGATAACGAATCAGAATACGAAGGAGACGAAAGTGATGAAGAACAAATATCTACGAAAGAATCTGACAGCGATGGGAGTGGCGGAGAGAACGAAGAAGGCGGCAGTGACCAAGAAGTTGGTAGTGACGTAGAAAGTGGCAGTGATGAAGATGGTAGTGAAGGAGAAAGTGGAAATAAAGGAGCAGTAATGTTAACTAATGAAGGCTGGGCTGATTCCGTAGCAAAGATTTTGGGTACAAATAAACCAAAAAGCAAAAAAACTCTGGTATTATCAAGAGCTAAGAAACATTCAGAAATTGTAAAAAAAGTAAAGGAAGAGAAGCCAGCTTTCGAAGTTGTTGGGGAAAGTGAGGAGATTAAACCTGAGATTAAGAAAGAAGAAACAGTTTCTATAGAGCCACCCAAAAAGAAAAAGGTTTGTTTTATTTTTTTACAAAGTGTTGTGTTACTTTTTTTAATATTTTTTAAATAAATTGCTGTTAAGAATTTCAAATAGTTATAACATGTTATATACATTTTAAAATATATTTATATAGTGGCAGTATTGCTATATTCAAAGTTAGAATTTTTTAATATTTAACAGAAAAAACTGATGTTAAATGTGTTATTTCAGAAAGAAGAAAAATCTACTGTACGCATTAAACCAAACATCTTAGAAAAAGATAGGGAAAGACTTTTATCAAAAATAGCTACAAAAGGTGTGGTACAGTTATTCAATGCAGTGAGGAACCAACAAAAGACAATGGAAAAAGAACTAGATAAAGATTTAACTGAAGCCAAAAAGGAGAAAATATTAAAGAAGTTTGATAAACGAGCATTTTTAGATACACTTATGGGTCAGACAAAATCAATAATTGTTGATGAACAAACTAAATCTTTGAAAAATGAAGTTAAACCTGAAGATGAAGCACCTAAATGGAGTGCATTGAGGTATTTTATTTAATTGATAATATATTAAGTTAACATGCATAACTGGTTCAAAACAACACAGTAGAGATTGACAAAATCATTAGTAAATGTCACTGCCAGTGCCGGTCTTAAAGTAAGGTGCAGTTAAGCAACCACCTAGGGCTCTAGACAGAGAGCATTGCCACAGGTCTGCAAATTCCACAGTTTTACATAACTCTGTTTACCTTTAAAGGCAAAAAAAAATTGAACTATAGAAATCTCCGCTGGCGAGACACCTGAACAACTGTTTAAGCCTACTTTTAATTGCAATGGTTTTTAGTATTCTTAACATAACACAAGACACACTTTTATTTATAATAATATTTTAAAAATTTTGTTTCTTATCAGGGATGACTTTATGATGGGAGCAAAAATGAAAGATTGGGACAAAGAACCAGCAGATGACTGAATATCTTAGAATATTTATTGGTTAAATATGTACATAAATTTAAGTATAATTAAATAAATTTAAGCTTAATGTAATGTGTTATTTATTTAATTTTACAATTAAAAACCTTTGCATACAAAGTAATTCCTTATAGCTTTCACCCAGCATTGTTTTAACACATTGCATGCCACTGATTTTATCATATTACATTAGTTGCGGCAATGACCCTGACTTTCTGAGTCCAAAATCTTAGTTTAAACAAATTGCTATCTCTTTGTTGTGAAAGATAATGACAGGGACGACGATATGTATGATACAAAGATTTAGGTGTGAGAAACGGTGAATGTGTTATAATTTTATCACTTGACTGTATATTTGTGTAATAAAAATCAGTTTATTTAATGCATAAAGTATAAGCATCACTGCTTACTGAATGTTGTGTGATTTGTTTGGGTAATGTTGAATATATTTTGACAGGTAGATTCCAAACCATTGTTTCAATAGGCACATTTAGTGGTGCATTCCAATCCTTTTCATCTGAATTCGGGCAAAGTTTTTCATTTGTTGTTACAAATTCGAAGTGAAGCCGCCATCTTAGTGATACTGTAAAAAGAAAAATTTAAGTAATTTTCTATTATTCTTATTTTGAAAACCCTATTTAGTTAAGAAAAGTGTGAGGATGGACAAACGGTTTGTCAAACATCTTGTTTTATAAATGTCAACGAAAATGATTTGCCAAACATCATGTTTGGCAAATGTGCACAAACCGTTTACTTGTAAAATGAATATTTACCTTCATTAACATCAAATGCTGGTGTGATATGTAAAGGTATTGGAAGGATCAGCTCAGAATGAGTCAAACCAAGTGTCACTTCATGATACCTGGCCACTGTCATTGATCTACTGCTAGATTCATTGTTGACATTTTTTGCTGGTGTTTTAGATTTCAATATTTCTTCTGGCTGCAGTGATACTGAAACCTGTAATATTATATTTAATGAACACAGAAGTGCATGGATCTGATATTACCACTTTCATTGCAATTACAATTTTCTTGTAAATGAACTCGTGTTAGTTGGAGTCACTCAATGTGTTAAGTAACAAGGGTTACAATTGGTATTTACATTCATGGATACTATTATAATAAAGGTAATTTATATAATAAAATTGTAATATTTGTCCTTATAATCATACCTGCATACATGTGACAGTGCCCACAGAGAAATCAAATGTCCCCACTATATCCTCACCCAATTTGTAAGCTGACTTAAACAGGCAGAAGCGACCAACTTTACCTCTAGTATTTGTTATCATGTATGAGTTTGGACTCCTTCTTGCAGTAAGATTCTGTTATAAAAAAAATATTTGTGATACCAAGTTTTCATGTGAATGGATTTAATCTATGAACTAAGTAAAGTACTAAAAGATAATATTACTTTTTTACGTTTCATTAATCAACATTTAAGTCATAAAAGGTTCCTTTTTATTACATTATTGTGTTTCATTAAATAAAATTAAACAAAAACCTTAGCATACCTGAAGGACCTGTAAAGCCATAGTCAAAGGTGTCTCTACTTTCCTTTCTTCTGAAAATGGGTTTGTGGGCTGTAGATCTTCAGTAGTTTCATTACCACAAAGTGCTGCCAAGTCTTGCATATTCATAATGGGACTAATTGGTAACACTCGGAATGGTATCCTTACCATTTTTATATGTGAGCCAACCTTTTGTGTGGCAATTGTTATTTTATATGAATATTTGATTGTAGTGCCCCTATATGATGGAGCAGCTTCAATAGGTAGGGATTCTCTGTACCAAACTGAAAATAAATACATGATTTTTTTTTTTTACTTATGCCAATGTTGTACTATGTTGGCATTATACTGCTAAGCAAGGTATTGGATACCGCACTACTAGCAAACACATAATGTTCAGTTAAATATACTTACAAGTTTTGGTTTCACCAAGTGGAATGGTGAGGTCGCAAAACAATATTTTTGGCTTTGTGTGAAAAACTACATCTCCAATATCACATGACGTTACCTCTAAGGCCGTTGTCTTCTCTATAGATAGGGATTTATCGCTGGGATTACCCGATGTCGAATAGAAACAGTGTATTTGTGCGGAAGCCCATGCCAAATTCTCCAAAATGTCACTACCAAAGAAAATTCATTTAGTAACGATAACAAAAAAACTAGATTATATATAATATACAAAGTAATTAGTAATTATACCTGTGGCTTTGCGAATTCCTGTGTTCAGGTTGAGTTGTATGGCAAAATGTAATACAACATTCTAATGCTTCACCAGCTAGGTAAACGGTACCTGTAGTTAACTTCGCTGAAAGTTCAATCATTTTGTTAAGTAAAACTTATAATATTGTCGGTGAATGGTGAAAATTAAACAATAATAACAGCAACGGTAGATAATTGTTTACAAAATATTTCATTTAATATTTACATTATTTGACATTCGACTTAATTTGACACAAGTGATGACTTCGCAAACGAAAAGTTAAAAGCTCTATGTAATAATTCAACCACCATCATTTTATTATCGAAATATGTGCAATGTACTTTGTTGAATATAAAACTTGAATTTTTTATCCCATCATTTGTTTTTACAATGATAAAGTTATGTACGTTTATAGTGAATCGTATTAGATTCGTAAAAACTGGTTCTAATTGTAAAAATATTTTTAAAAAAAATCATGTATTTATAAAGTTTTATAAATTAATTTAAATACGACTATAATTTTTAAATCTTACAAGTTTTAAGTACATAAAACAAAAATATTGGTAAAACTAAATACGAGAAACGGAACGTATTGTGGAACGTAACTTTTGTAACGAATAAGTCAATTTGAATAAGCAATTTGAGAATCACATCAATTTTTGCAAATGAACCTTATATATAACCATACAGTATTAAAATGTTAATATCAGACGGAATTAATCATGGCAAATTACAATCAATTATAGTCGGTGAATTAAAAAAAGCCGGATTAAAGCATCGTTTAAAGAAAATCATATTAAAGAATGTGAAAGTAAGTAAACATTTCCGGTCGCATAAGAAATGGTATCTTATTATTATTATTGAACGTTTCGAGTTTTTCTTACAGGACCATAAGACTGTATTTGGAGCCCCTTTAGTGAAAGTTCCATCATGTAGTGTAATTTGTTGTGGCAGTACGTTGAGTATTCCTAATGTAGTGAGTGAAATGTCGTCCGTTTTACGAGCAAACGCGAATGTGGAGGGTTTATTCCGTAAAGCTGGTTCACAAACCCGCCAAAAAGATATTAAGGTAAATTATTAGTTAAATTACATTTATATACATTTTTCACATACCTAATAAATTATAACAAGCTTTAATTTAATTATTTTTAGCGGTTATTAGACGCCGGGGGCTGTGTATCAGAGGGTCATCATCCAATAGACGTAGCCAGTGTGCTAAAGCTATATTTGCGTTGCTTACCAGAACCTCTGATAAGTGCAGAAGTCCAGGACTTACTACTTCGGTGCAGGGTGACCGCTGGAGAAGATGGGCTTAAACCTATTCTGCACACTTTATTACTTCTGCCAGTACTACATGTTCATTTGCTACATTATATAATGGAGGTAACATAGTTTTTGTTTCTATATAAAATATTTTGATGGTATAAAGATATTCTATACTATCAAATTATTGTTTGAAAATAGTTAATTAAGACATCATTCCCTTTACACCTTCAATGCTATTTAGTTTTTAAACCCACACTAAGGTGCCTCCTTAGTGACAGTTATTACTCTTTGAGTGTGGCAATTATATTAATTATTCTTAAATATTGTTTTAGCTACTTAATTACATTGCATCAAGACACAAGGATAATCTAATGGACTCATCAAACCTTGCCATAGTGATGGCGCCCAGTATTATGCCCTTGCCGGCTGCATCCTCAGCTCAGAGGCTGGAACACCATGTGGCTCTAGTTAAAGTAAGTTATATTTATAAAAACTGATATTCTTCCATATTAAATTATAAAATATCACTTCTGAGCAATTATTTTGTTATCTACACTATATTTGAACATATTGTGCGAGATAATTTTATCTTCCATCCTGTTCAGCAGGAAATATTTTCTATTATCTATTAATCTATGTCCTGAAAGTTTTGTTAACCATTATGTTGTCAAATAACTTTTAAATTGTTGTAAATAAATCAAACCCATATAAAATGTGAATCCTTGGCATGTTGTTTAATAGATGTGAGAATGTATAAACAATAGTAAAGCTCAACCAATAGTATTCTGTAAATCAACCTTTGATGAATCCATATAAGTATTGCATTATAGTACAATAAACTTGTTGACATAATTAAACTGTTATTCTAATTATGTCATACATATATTGATATATACTCATTTGCAGTAATAACTATGATGCAGACATAATTTTAAATGACTCATTTCAATATTTCAAATGTGATTGTATTGCTAAACCATAGTAAGTCTTGGGCACATTCCATTTTCCGAACATATTTAAAAACAAATAACAATCTAGGGAATGGTTTAAATTGGAGGGTTTGAGCTTTCTAAGTTTTGAGACTTTTTAAAAATACAATCTGTACTTGAAGTTCATCGTGTTACTTATAATAACAAATAGGAAACTGGTCTTCTATTAGTATTTTTTTATAAATCATTGTTGTCTCTACTTTTTCAATGAGAATGAAAGGGTTGGCAATATGTTTTTAAGGTATTTCGTCTATCAAAAAGCATAATCAGATTGTCATTTTGTGTCTTATTTGGTGACAGATGTTCATAGAGAACTCACAGCACATTGGTGTGCTGACGGAGGATCTAATGACGCAGCTGGACGACGACTGTGACCTGCACCATGCCAGGAGGAAGAAGCGACGGAGTGGCTCACTCAATAGTATGTTTGACGTCCACTTGTTTGATGTTTTTGTCATATATGAGTTAAAATGATACAAAAACATTTGTTATGAAAATAACAACCCAAGAAATGATAATATAAAGGGCATGTATGACGTATGGTTTATTAATATAAGAATGATTTACAGCTTAGAACACAAGGGCTGTGTTCTTAAATAGCAGAATACTATCAAAAGTCAATACATGGGTAATGGTGGAAGATTCGTTTTACAGGAATGCTCAGTGGCTTACGTAAGATGGTGTCTGGGAGTGCTAACACGCCCGCCACGGTGCCCGAGCACTCCAAGACCCCCGTCATCAGCAAGTCCGCGGCCAAGCGCAAGATGGAAGGCTACGAGGGACTTTCTGCCAAAATAAAGTATTAAAATGCCATTGTAACCTTATTAAAATATAAATTTATTTTCAAATTTTAATCAATATGTTTGTTACAGGAAAGAAGTAACGAAAAATTTGCCTCAGCGGGAATTGTCTTTTACACCAATGAAAATGTAAGTAAAATTTAACAATAGCTCAATTTATTAACTCCTTTATATTGGAATCAAGTTATATGTTAATGTAGAAGTTAATAACACTTTCTATTTTTAGGGGCATCACTGAGAGGAAAAGATTGCGGCTAAGCTTCAAAGATATAAAAGACACACCAAATATAAACTCGGAAACCAGCGTCAGTAGTGAAGACATGCTGACTTCTTCTGAGAATTTGTTTAGCGCTCACGACACCATAGACCTGTCCCCAGATATGAAGCAAGCTGATAAAGACTACGTCAGAATCTCTAAGCAGGAGTATGAGGAGATCAAGAGCAGAGTATCAGCCATAGAAAACAGACTGTCCAGAGAATTCACAGATGTAATACCCAACGTGCAACATCTGCAGCATGTACAGAATGCTTATGAACAAACATTAGAGGAAGTCGCCATGTTGCACTGCCCCAGCTCCGAACATCTCGCGCGACGACTGAGCAAAGAACTGAAGATTCGACCAAAGGAACAAGCCAAAATTATAAGATCTCCTAGTGCTAGAAAAATAGGCTCAATTCGACGCCGATCAAAGGAAAACTTAACAAAAATCGTCCGACACAAATCTTGGAATGTGTCAACACATTCACAAGCTAGTCAAAATACAGACAGATTTTATCCGTACGGTGGAGTCGTACCTAGGGAAAGGACGAGTACAATGAAACCAGAATCGATTATCAAAAGTCAAGCCGTCGATGAATGGAACCTATCAAACTGCGATAACTCTGTAACTAACATATCAAACTCTGGTCAAAAGTACAGGCTTCGGAAGCGAACGAGTCTCGCGCCCGACTACAATCTAGATAAAACTATAGGGAAGCCTCAACCAAGAAGATCGCTGAATATCACAATGGACAATAGTTACGACGGCACTTCAGAAAACTCTCTCAATAATAGCGACAAATCGAATTCAAACCAATATCAGTATTACAGAAATAACACGAAAAGTATTAAGTATTCTAATAGACCATCGCAACAAAAATGGCGGAGCGCAGCCGCGTTCTTTATGGAAAAAACTGGCGAAGTAGAGAATGATAGTCAAACTGGAAGACCGTCGGTAAACAAGCTGCGACAACAGAACGCGGGCGCAGTTCTCGCAAAAGCCAAGCTCTTCGAGTCCGGCTCCGACAAGTCCTCGGAAAGAAACGACAAGACCGATTCCAATTTCGCGCGACGACCACGAACAAACGGTCAAAACAAACCGCTGAAAAGTATTACGAACAATAAATCTAAGATACCAACTTCCCCGAACATACCCAATCGATTGAACAAAGAGTGTAATAAAAACTATTTACGGCCTTATCCGTGTTCAAGTGAAGGTAAAGAGGAAGCTATAAATTTGCGATTCAACAGAAAAGCGACGACTCCAGTGAAAAAAATAGTATCTCCTCAAAATATGATTCCAAAAGCTCAAACACCGATTATGAAGAAACCGTTATGCCAACCGAGAAGTTTACGAACTCCGGCGCATTCGGTGGATACAAAGAAACTGAATACTCCACTAAAAGCAGTTCACGTGTCGCCGCGAAGACGATCTCCCCGACAGAAGTTGCAACGTTCATTTAATTAAATCAGTATTTTTATATACAAGTTAAATCGAATGGTATTAATCGTAAGATTTAGCTAATAATTGCAATGATTATTTGTAAATAGATATATTATAAATAAAGCTTGTTTATTTTTATTGATTTTTTTTTAAATATCTCGATTTAGGACATGAAATGCTTATAGTTCCATTAACCAAAAGTTTCCTATTACAAAAATCATTATATTGGATTATGGAAGGAGGTGAAATAAAATTCCAATGTATAATATTATATGATGTATATCACGGCTTTTACAGTGGTATCTTCAGGTATAAACAAAAATATCCCAGATTTTAATTCAATAAATAATGAACATACTGACAATTCAATAAATAACAATTTTCACATTCAATTATATAAAACGTCGGCGCCATTATAATTTCGCTGTCGACGTGTCCGGCGCGTGTTCGATTTACTTACACATTTATCGATGATCACAGATTGAGGATTATAAAAAAAAGCAGATTCAAGAACATACCGTGCTATGGAGACGATTTAACAATTCGAAATTTTGCAATAGTGATTATTGATTGAGTTATTTAGACTTCATTACAGCTTACCGGCTAACTTACAGCTACGAGCTCCGCTGCCGCTCGACCGCTCCTGCTCTGGCAATGCTCCGTCGCATGTCGCATCAATACCACCATTAAATTAACAATATAATAAAATATCAATTGTACCTAAGATCTTTTCCAATTAAATACGCAGATTCCTTCTTAATTTGCATTATCCAATATACAATGGCGGCTGGCGCGCCGCCCGCGTCCCGAGCTTACGTACGTACTTCATAATAATTAAACATACAGCTTGTGATCGATAATAATAAAAATATAATGATACAAATACATTAATTACTACATTTTCGATTATTGTGTGACATAAATATTTACAAAGCGCATCATGGGAGCGCCAAAACTAGTTAGGCGAGGCGGACCCCGGCCACGCCCACCGCCCCCGCCCCCGCGCGGCGCCGCCCGGCCCCCACACCTAACTCGTACAAATATCTTTATTAACTAAAACACGAACGATTATCTCACCTTCAGGAGGCCTACTCGATAAATGCTCCAAAATAAAAATCATCTCGTCAAATTGTTAAAAACATAACATTACCTAAGTTTATAATGTTACAAAATTGTAGCCGGTCCGGGACAGTGACGGTCACCGGACCGGACTGATCGTATAATAAAAACGTACGCATCTAGTCAGCTTCGGTAAAAATAATTAAAGAAAATAGATATCATCTCCATCATCACGGATCGGTCCGGCAGAGATGTCTCTGCCGACTACCGGAACACTTACAAAAAAAAACATTACTCTAATATCGACGCCACTTCATGGATGATTACAATTTTAGGGAATGCACGATAGATACTACACGACCAAATACATTATTAAGTACCGATGATAAAAAAGACGCCTCTACATATACAAATAGCGTAACAACATTCCTTCGTCATCTATAATACAGTACAAAGGTAAAATGGCTTACGTAACACGAGGTGTCACGAACATGACAAGTTTTAGGTAATAAAAATAATTGTTGGGTAGAGTGAGGTTTGCGCCCACCGCATCAAACATTCCATATCATTGGACAAACTCAAATAAAAACTTAAAACAAAAATCAGTTTCACATACACTTATTATTTATATTAAAGCAAACGATACAATACTAAATTGCATATAATTGATTTAATTTGTTTATCCAATGATAATGGAATAACGTCACACAGTACTGCTGCAACCCAGACTGTTGACTACAAAACCATAATTTACAATTTACCATAACAATGGCATATAGAATAGAATTATATTTCACAAATACATTATTTCCATTGATATTAGATAATAAAAAAAATCTAGATTATCATGATTTATGTGTTTTATGTCAATTAGTTAAAAAAAATCAATAATATGTCAGGGGTATAGAATCAAAATTGGTTATGTCCATTAAAAAACGGTAGCATTAGCATCAAAAAAATACATTCCATTTAATAATAAGTTTAGAAATAAATGGACATAAACATTTTTGTTTCAAACACGCATGATTTATTTTTTAAACTTTCATAGCAGAATTAAATTTCCATCAGAAATGGTTTGAAAATTCTAAACCGTATTAAAGGATGATATGTTTTATTATTGAAATTGCAATTCAGAACGAATATTCTGGAAGGTCTATATGGCTTATTAAAGTCATATTTAGACCTATGACAGGGTAAGTCCTATAGCTGGATGGACTTCTTGAGATCAAGATTTCTCCAATTTATACACTTGTTTTACAAGTACCATTATTCATGACTTTAAATATAAAAAAAATTCATATAGCAACTGGTTTTCAACTAGTATAGTGCTTTCAATATGACCGTATTCATCTTAGCTTCATGATTTCAGTATTAATGCCCATATATTATTTTCCTTTAAGCATATGAATGCTAAGCTCTAATAAAGTGACTAATCTCATTAAAGCTGTTTCTGCCAAACAAGTTAGTTGTCAGTGTATTAAAAAAGCCGCTTGGCAATGTGTTCCTTACATTATGATACAGTGAAATATCTCACATACATTTTTAAATCACACTATGCTTCTAGATTTTATAGATAAAGATTGTATAAATGTAAAATGACGTAACATAAATACAACAAGAAAAAAATACGTTATTACGGACTCGGACTTAATATTAAGAAATTGGAAGGAAAATTTAACAACTTGTAGAGTGGTATAGTAAAAATGTGTCACTTTCATGACTTATGAAGGAATTGTAATATTAGTAGCATAGTGTGAGATGTTGTATGTGTGTGGGGGCGGGGCTATGGGCGCGGTGGGCGTGGTGGGCGGGGCGTTCAGTTAACCATGAGGGTGTGGGACTCCATGGGCGCGGCGGAGTCGTAAAGTGTATCCGTGTCCTGCGTGGGCTCGCCTTGCAGCTGACACTGGTTAGACAGCGTACCCGCGCCACAGTCGCAGAAGAATCTGAAAATTATAAAGAAAAATTATTATCGTTTGGTAAATATCATACTTCACATAATTGAAATACTAACACTAGTAGTGAAAACATTATGTAATTGTTTAAAAAAATATTTATGGAAATAAATTAGGCTTTATTACTAAACATCATTCCAATCAAATTTATTTTAAATTGTTATTTCATCTTATCAATATTTTTTTATACAACATTGGCTTTTTAATTTCTCACAGCAAACGGCAACGTATCAACAAAATCCAACTACGTAGAGAATGTTACGTCATATCGTGGATGTTTGTTTGTTAATAGAATAAAATTATCTATGTTTATTTGTACAAAAATATTAAGTTTACAACTCACCTGTCATGGCGTATAAATTCTACATCATGTCCTGAATGGCACGTTTTGATACAATTGACGCAAATTGCATTCCGATCTGTCGTGTTGCATGTCTGGCATCTGAAAGTTTATATAATACGATTACATTATGCCTCTATAATAGTTTTAACATTGATTATGTGGCAAATATCAATAGATACAAGGGTAAATTGACAAAAATACAGTACATAGCGGTAAGTATTTTTAACCTTGTGATTGAACCAATTTTGACAAGTTATACTTCAAATAGTGATTTTAAAAGAATTTAAATCTTCAAAAGCAGTCAAATAAAGTGCGCAGTGGCTTGCATTACCTATAGAAATCATGCATGGGGAAGGATGTGTAGGAGGATATCTTGTAGAGGCACTGTCCTCCGCCCACCGCCTTCTCCACCGCATCCTGGTTACTGAAGATCTTGTTGCCGCGCACCAGCGGCGACACGCCCGACGCCAGGCATAGACCTGAACAAAACCATAAATAAATGATGTTACCTTCCATTAAATAATGTACAACCTCACTCAGAGTTGTTAAGTGACAAGTAAATTAAATCTCGAGTCTAAATTTAATAGACAAGACATACTTTCTCTTTAAAAACTGCGTATAGTCGAATATCATGAAAATATGAAATTATAACCTACCTATCTAAACAATTTTACCTTTATAAAGCTATAATCATAGACTTATGCTATAAAAACAGACATATTACTATTAATTTAAACACTTGAAATGTTCCAAAATAAATCTATAAGTTACTAAAATTATCATTTCGACTGAATTTGACTATACGAAATATAACATTATATATTTTAATTAATGAGTAAACTTGGGTATAGTAAGTGGAAGTTTGGTATAAATGTAGTACATAGCCTGGAAGAACATATATACTAACAAGGTTTTTTTTTATATACAACGATTATCAAGTGTAGAACCAGTAGGTGGATATGTAACTGTTTCCGTTATATATATAAATATAATAATTCTAGTGTTTATTATACCTCCAAATCGATTATTAAATATCTGATTATGTTCAAGAGTGGCTGTTGCGTTGTTGGTGATCTCAACACCGGCGGCGAGGCCGTCGAAGATGCGATTGCGACGCAGCACAGGATGACTCTGCGTCGAGATCAGCACGCCCGCCTGCGCGTTGCGGAAGATGTCGTTCTCCTCCAACACGCCCTGAACACAACGGAATACTTTATTATATTGCAACTAACTTTATTTCAATTACAACTTTCATGAATCGAAAGTATTAAGTATATTATTACACAAATCTTATAATATAAATAATGTTTTTAGTTAGTTAGCAATTATTTAAAACATAATATTATTTTTTTATTTATAATACTGCAATAAAAAAAAACATGCACATATTAATTAGATACATGTATTTTAGGTGGATAAAGTTAAACATTGTTATATCTCAATTGGTTATGTCCAAATCTTGCTAATATTATAAATGGGAATGTTTAAATGGATGGATATTTGTTAGAAGGTATATCCAGAACGGCTGCATGGATCTCACTGAAATTTGGCATAAATGTAGAATATAATCTGGAAGAACACATAGGGTACTGATTAAGTTTTTAATTCCACGCAGTCGGTGTCGCGGGCGACATCTAGTTAACAATAAACTGCAAATACAAGTTGCAATAGCTTTGTAATGTTTAACACTTACCTTGCCCCCATTAAAAATACATATGCCCCCATCGCGTCCATCGAATATCTTATTCCTCTTGAGCGTTGGGTTGGAATCAGTCTTTATCCAGACGCCGGCCATGGCGTTGTCGAATATTTCATTTTGTTCGAGTAGGCCGAGACCGCCATTGTATACTAGCACGCCTCCATTCTGCCCACCCCAGATTTTATTGCCGCGGATGACAGGGTTACTGCCAGTACGGATTTGCACCCCTGAGTACAGGTGGTTGAAGATATCGTTGTCTTCTAACTTGCCGTGACCATTGTCATAGAAGTAAACACCCACCTGTTAAGTTTTATACAAAATATTTAGTCGTGTGAACGATGTGGGCTTATTTTACAATTTGCAATAAGAATCACAGCTGTGGAAACCCACTATGGGTTTCTACTTACACTTATTATTCCTTACATTTTTGTTTAAAAAAAAACAGAGACGTCGATTTTTTTTTATTTATTAAAATTAAAATATAATCAAGTAGATGAAAATGTTATTTTGCTTTTTTATAATAGGATATAAAAAAAAAATTGCTAGCAATACATAAAAATGTCATTAAAATACACAATTTATAACTCGCCTTTTCCAGCAATTTTCGCAAACATTTCGCACATTCACTGCCACCGACTCGTCTTGTGCGTTCACTTATGCGATCCATTCGACGCAAAAAATTACATCTCCTAAGGTATTATTTATAAGTAACTATTGGTCGGATGGATCGTTATGTACAAGCATTGAAAGTATTAATCATGCTCGCAATCTTATAGAAATTATCGTATATCTTGGCGGCTCAGAACATCGTACAAATCTTTCAGCGTAGCGGAGCGCCTAGATGACTTTGAGCCGCCAAGGTATTTGAAAAGAGTTATACCTGTTTCCCGGAATGTATGCGGTTCCTGCGCAGCACAGGCGTGGAGCCGGTGGTGATCCAGACTCCGGCGAGCGTGTTGGCGTACACCTCGTTCTCCTCGATGAGGCCCTGCCCCTTCTCGTGCACGTAGATGCCGCCATGCTGCCCGTGGTGGATCTTGTTGTGCCTCACGATAGGATCGCTATTTGTGCGAATCTAAAATTCGAAGTTGGATATTGTTGTTTGTATTTACAAAGATAGAATATGAAATTATTATAATCAACAGTTGGAATTAAGGTAGTTTCAAATTTATTTATTACTGCACATATTTTATAATTATTATAAAAGCACTATTAATTTCGTTATATATGATTGATATTTACATACATTTATAAGTTTGTTCTTATATAACTATAGCTTTAGATATATAAGAATGTTTTATACCTGTATACCAGCCAAAGCATTCCCATATATATTATTGTGCTCAATCAGTCCGCGGCCCTCGCCGAATATGTACACTCCGCCCTGATGTCCGTTGTATATCTCATTGCGACGTATGGTGGGGTTACTGTTGGACGTTATCCAGACGCCGGCGAAGTTATTGGAGTGTATCTTATTGTCAATGAACTGGCCCAGACCGGATTCATGCACGTATATGCCTCCAGTCTGACCGTGGTGTATCTCGCAGTGAACTACGGTGGGATTGGCGCCGGCTTTCACTTCAAAACCGGCTATTCTATTATTGTGGATGTCGTTCGCTTCGAAATAACCCTATAAATATTTTGTTATAAAAAGTTAATAAACACTCTGATCCACCAGCAGACCTTAAATTACAAGTCAACCTCCAACAATCTCCAAGTGTCTGTTGTAGATTGAGGAACCTCACAATCTTGCCCCTGATCTTTGGGTCATCTCTTATGTCGGCTTCTATTATTCCTGTCCATTTATCACGTAGTTTAAGTAAAAATTTAAACTTTTAAGGTAATGAACAACACACAAATACAAATCATCAAAAAGATGTAGAGACACACCAAACAAAGGTTTTGGATAAAGTCAAAAATCTTCGAATTACAAATACTTATATTTCAAGAAAATTTTTAAATGTTACGTACCAGTCCATTTTCAAATGTGAATATACCGACATCTCGTCCATGGTGTATATGATTGCGGCGCATGATGGGGTTAGCGAAATTCTTAACCCAGATGCCAGCGAGCGCGTTGCGAGATATCTCGTTGTCCTGATAGGCGCCCTGCGCGTAATCCGTCACGTAAAGGCCCACGTTCTCGCAGTCGCTGATATCGCAGTGCCGGATGACCGGATTCGCGCCCGCACCACTCACGCACACCGCCGCACCCACTAAACACATAGCTTTTTAGCTACATACATAAACCTACACATCACACTAGCTATCTACTTAATCTGCGCGTATTAAAAAAATACTTAATTAGTAGCCTATGTGGTAAGATAAAATGTCGACCACAGCTTTGCATGTGTTCGTGATATATTTGTCTTTCTAAAACTTGTATATTTGCTTACTCATATATTTTTTTCTACTTGTCTTTGAAATTTAGAAACATTGCAGTTGTAAAAAAGTACTGACCAACACTCGCGCTACGTATAATGCACTGGTCGACAGTGGGCGAGCAGTTATCGGAGACCTCAAGGCAGTAATGCTTGTGATGCTGCATCGTGCTGGTGGCGTCCGGCGAGAACTTGAGCGTCATGTAGCCGGCGTACGCACGGTTTGCGCCTTCCGCGAACGTCAGCGTCGACTCCGCCTCGCGCTCTAGTACTACAGACTCTGCTACGTTGCCGGGAGCGCAGCCTATCAGGATTTACGTAGTGATTAGTCAAAACACACGCTTACACAATTTTGTAGACAATTTATTATTTAAAAAGCAAGTACAGCTAACTGAAATTGATATATAAAGAAAATTCAAAACTTCTTTCAATTGCAATTAAAAAATATATATTTTCCTATAACTGTGCCTATTGGAGATATCCATGTTCCAATCAAAAGGAAAACACGCTGTAAAGGTTGCGAATAGTACTACTAGTCTGTCGAGACGTTTTCGAGTTATTTCGGCTCTCAGAGTCATGAAATGGTCACTAAGGGAGACCACTTAACAAATATAGGTGCAATTAGTATTGTTACTGACCAATGAGCTGTACATCAGTGTCGATAGCGAGGCACTCCTCCTGGTATAGGCCGGCGTGCACAAAGAGAAGCGCGGGGGGCGGGGCTGGCGTACGCCGACACGAGCACACGCCTGCAGATCCACTCCCGCCACCAGACGCGCTCACGCTTCCGCTCCCGCCACCACCGCAGCTGCAGCTCCCGCCGCTCGAGCACGACACTCCGCTTCTCTCCTCCACGTACTCCAGCGCCGCCTACATACAAACATCATACAATTTACACTTTTAAATCAGCTATATAAGAATTCTTCAATACCCTTCTTATAAGCTTGTTATTGTAATAGATAAGTGAAGGAATTTACATTATAAAGTATTCTTAATTAATATAAAAAGATTACCTTAACTTTGAATTTTTAATTTTTTAATCATTCAAAATGTATCTAACACAATTACATAAAAAACGTATCCTTTGTCTCAATTCATTCCTACATAAGGCTATATGTCGTGAGGTCGGTAACTCACCCTAATAGTATTAAAATGTTTGATGCGGGAGTCCTTTTTGGGACGATAGTTGGGGCGGACGTGGATGCCGTAGTAGAGCTGTCGGAAGCTCTCCTTCCACGGGTTGTCTGCGTCACACTCGTCAGGCGCGACGAACTCGAACTGGCAGGGCGCGGGGTGCATCAGCGGCGTGTCGTACTCGAATACCGACTGGTACAGACTTTTCCTGTCCACCACAACTTTCACTTTACAAAAGTTCCTTTAGACCTTTGTTGAGAGTAAAGATAAACATAATTCTATATCATAAAAAAGCTGCACAATGTGTCAGAAATCGCGTCTGCTGTCGAAAAAAATGGAAAACACGTTTTGAGTTGCTTTATAGTAAGTTCAGTCCTGTATCAAATGTAATTTCTCACATTAAATCCTGAGTATATCAGTGAGATTCAACCTTAAATCTTTTGTCAAAGTACCTTTACACAGACGATTAAATAATGCAACACAGTATAAATGCAAATATTGCACCAAACATACCATAGTTCTGTATCATTAGCAATGGTGTTGAACCGCTTGCAGACTTGCGCGACACGGCAGAGGTCACGCTCGGTAAGATGCGACAGGATGCAGAGCAGCACCTCATCTGGCAACTCGTACTGCAAGTACTGCGACACATTGCATACGTCCACACCTTGAGACAATGATCTGCAAACATACACGTAATTTATATACCCAAAATTTGAACAGCATTTATTAAGTGAATAATTCAAGAAAAACCACTATTCTATGAGTAGCGGTCACTTCACTACCTTTGCGAATTCAGGTAGTCGCTGGCGCGTGTAGCAACTTATACTAAATAAAGATATTTTCATAAATATTAATCAAAAATGGGCAAAATATGTAAACGTTATACAAATCTATTCAGGACCTATAAGTTTTAGCCCATATAAGCGGTATATTGTTTTAGTTGATGTCGTAAAATTAAATTTTAACAGTATTAGTGGCGATTCTAAACTCAAACTTTAAGTTTAATTATATTTATCAAATCTATAATTTTGATAAATTATTACGAAAAGTAATTATTTGAAACATTAAAAACTACGTAGCGATAATTTGCAAGCGACAGATGTTTTCGTGTGTTAACAAAATTCTTTAGAAGGACGTCGTTATGCGTATTCAAGTTTTTTTTTCGTTAGTAGCGGCGATAGTGATGGTCATGGGAAGTGGGACACGCCGTTAGAATGCTCGGAATGTGGGTCGATGATGACAAAACTATGAATTTTGCGGCTATAATGCCATTTTGCTAATTATACAAATATTTGATTATTTAGCGATTGTATATTGAAGTACGATCGATACTTTAGCAAATTTAAACTTCACTTAGACTCTTACTAAAATCAATAATGTAATAAGAGAAAAAGAAGTGAAAAATTTATTTATTTATTTTATTTACGTTTATATGCAAACAAATAAAAATATTAACAATACAATGTATCAACCAATTCGTTGTATTAGTATATAGTTAAGTAATAATTGCAACGCATACTGCTTATTATATGGTTTGCAAAAAAAACACAGAAGATCATGTAAAGATCATGACCATTAGTAGTTTATATACATAATTTTTTTTAGCTATAAAATATAATTTAAATTGCAGATTTGGCTTATCATTTTATAGTTTTAATTTTACTGAAAATATTTGTCATAACATCCTTCTTCTTTAGATTTTTGCCAGCAACTACATTTAAACATACACTGACAGCTACAAGCAGTTGAAATGCAGGCAATTTTAATGGTGGCAATGCTGCAAGTCAACCTTAGTATAGTCATCTATAGGCTTTCTTAATAATTGAGCTGTTTTTATTATATATCATAAGGTGGCAAACGAGCGAACGGCCACCTGAACTCGCTGAAATAGTGAAGTGCATATGCATTGCCTACCTCTAATCGACGGAGGAGAGGATGCACAGAAAGAAAATATTTGCCCTTTCCATGCATCCTCTCATCCGGAAAGTCCACTTCCACTTCCCATCCTTTACTTATAAGAAAAAGGATGGGAAGGAAAGAGGACCAAATTAGTTGTTAGAATAGATATAGGTACTGACGTCCTAGGCCTCTTCCTTGCGGGCAGCGAGCAGGAGCCGGAGGGGCCGGGCTCGTGGTAGGCAGGTGGCGACTTGCGGCGCAGGTCGTAAGGGCTGTGGTGTCCGGCGGGCGTGGCGGCGGCGGGCGCAGCAGGCACGGGGGGCGCGCCGCCCGACCCGCCGCCGCCGCTGCCGCTCGGCCCGGCGCACGCCGTCGCCGCCATCGCGCTGCCTGTCACGTTGTTCGGGCAAGGTACAGATTCACATGGTTCACCTAGAATACATTGGTTTTCATGGTATGAGCTTTTTAAGAAAGACTACCCATCAGAACTGCACGGAATAAAACAAATAGAACAAACAAAAAGAAAGGACAAAAATTAAAAGAGAGATATTAAGTTGTATCTTGGTAAATGCAATCAGACTCATATTTAAAAACAAAAATATTTAAATGAACTATCACTATTGAAAATATGTTAAAGAGCATTTGAATGAATTCTACCTTTAACAACTCTCGGAGAACTCTCTTGGGGGAAATGAAAAATTACCATTTGACAAAATGTCGCTTCTTATGTATCTATATATCTATACATTACATATTGAAAATTTCGCTATATTAGAAATATTATCTCAAATTCTATAAGTGGTTTGTCTTTTGTCGTAGTTTAATGTAAGATGACTCATATTTTGAGAAGCTACATTTTAAACTTTTAGGTCAAAGTTTTTTTGTTTCATAATAGATAAAAGATATTCCATCAATAGTTTTCAATTTATGCACTTGTCATGGGTTACTGAGACCAAATTCTCTGTTTAAAACCTATTGTTATCTGTGTTTGGTCAAAGATGAAAGACAGGGATGACATTATGTTTTATAGAAAAAATTAAAATGAAAAAATCTTTATTGTTATACACAAGAGATATTTAAGTTTCAGAAACTGTACTACCATAAGTACAATAATAGGTTTGTACTTTAAAATATTTATAAACATACACAAGCATCATACAATCAAGAACTAACACCTAAAATTCTTTTTTATTTCATTGTCTTTCATATTGTGTTGATTTCAAATTTTTGGAACACAATTACTAACATACGAGCCATTAAAGTTGTAATTTCAATGCAAACTAAAGTTCTCTATTAGTATAAGTAATATTTTAAATGAGATGTTTTTAACAATACATTCTTAGCAGCAGATGTTATGTGTTTATATATTATGAACACAAATTATCCTCTATTGAAACTTGTTTTGCTGCCAAGAGACTTGACCTATTTGAGAGGTAAATCTAGTCCCATTGTATATAAAATTAGGATGCTTTTAAATTTTCTACAACAAATTGGTTTCTGTGTTATTTTTGTTCAGTGTTTTAAACATTACATGTATTTCGCTAAAATAAATTGTAATATTTTTTGTTTATATTGTGATGACTTTATTATTTCTAAGATGCCAAATATATTGTGACTAAAATTTACACTAACACAAGCGGTGGCTCGTGACCTTGTTGGTGTTGGATTAAAAAATTGATAGTCGATTCTCAGAACTGATACAGATACTGAATATGCATAGGTAATTTCATAAAATTGATCGAGTAGTATCAGTGGAGTATGGTAGCTAACATTATGACACGAGAATTTTATATATAAGTCATTTCATTGATGAACTTGAAATTTTATTTTTCATTTGTGTTGTTCCATCTTTAATTTAGATCATAATGTTCAGCAACGAGATCTTTCTCAAAATGTCATCTTAGCTTTATAGCTATTTTGCACAAGATGTATAATTTGCAACAATGCAAATTTCTTCTTTATTGACATATAAGAGCTATTACATATTTTTTATAAACTTATCTATGTTAGTAAAATAAATATTGTCAATAAACAAAAGTTTACAGTTCGCTAAAAAGCTCATAGCACATATCACATAAAATTCAGTGGGAGATATAGTAAATACAAAGCATACTATCCTATCAAAAGTAAATTTAAATAATTATTTAACCCTTTTGCTACTAACATATTCCACAAAATATGCTTTGTTTGGAAACTAATCATGTAATAGATTGTGGTGTCTAAATAAAGATAAATGTGTGCAATAAAATTTCACAATCATATAATAATAGAAAATTTTATTTGACATTTTTATTGTAAAATTTATCAATTGAAAGTGATCTCAATATATCAGCCTAATCATGATCAATAGTGGTTAACCACACTCTTCAATGTTTTGATAACTTAAAGATAAACAAATCAATATATAGTTCTATAATTAATTATTCATTCACAAATTTTAGAAGTTACTACTAGCTAATTATTTTCAATACTGATTGTAATTCATCAATCACAATATAACGAAATGTTTCGTAACTAAAAGTACGGGCAGCACTAGTGACTCGAAACAGCTGTTTCGTTGTGCCCGTGTGAAATAAGACTTCATGTACCAAATCAATACTCATATTGCGCAAAATGTCGCTGAAATGCGCTATCTAATATATAACTACGAATCATAAACGTAAAAATTAAAAAAAATGAAAAACTACGACTTGATGACAATTGTCTTTCAATCACAAAAATTAGTAAAGTTGATCATCAAATTCTCGATTTACAAAAGACAAACTAAACAGAGAAAAAATTGCTAATTTTCAAACACAAAAAGACTCATGTAAAGACCAGTTAAGATTTATGTGCATAAATATTAACGCAGTTTGACGAATACGTCGATAACGAGCCATTTGTAAAACTTTGTGCGACATCAACCGACCCGGATAACTTACTTGATTGTGTCCTGGATGGAAGTGGTATTCTGTGTCCGCCTTTTCTTCGCGATCTACGGACGTAAGAACGCGAAGAGGAAAACGAGGCACTAGGCATTATTTCTTTTGATGCTTATTTTCACTAAAATTCAGTCTAAACAAAGGAGACACCCGCACCAACACCGTCAGCCATTTTCTGTTTAGAATAGATTGAAGAACCGATACAGGAAATACAGATATAACCACACAATAGCCACTAAATCAGATTACTTTTTGTTTCACGTATATTGCACTAACCACTAATACTAATAATGTTGCAGTTAACTCATAAAAACCATTATTTTAATAATTATGAATAAAATTCACTCTACCCTAAAAAGCAAAGGGCGACTCACAGAAAAATATGGCGGATTTGAATGAATATGGCGACGTCGATCGTACCGCCACCTATTAAAAATTATCCAAAATGCATGCAAAGGAAAAAAAATAATATTGCCATCGTTTCTCGCATTGATTTTAAAAAATTAAAGAAGTGAAAACAAACAATATTTATGTAGGTATGAAGACATCCTTTAGAATGTGTAATGTAGTTTTTTCTAAACTACATAATCAGTATTTAAAGTTTTCGTAAAAGGTTAAGCAAGGTTTGAAACTAAGCGGGATATGACCTAAATTTCTTTTATATGTGTTATAATGTATTTATTTTTTTGGTTTGGCTATATATAAACTTTCATAGCAAAATATCTTGTATAGACTGACCAGATATATAAAAACTCATTCATGAATACGACTGTGTAATAATTGTGTGCAACACTATATATCTGATGAACTAATGTAACTGGTCGTGGGTCGATCCGCCACTACATCGAAAGGCGTTTTTTCGGTATAAAAATCGAATGAGTCCATTAAAATATCGGATAAGATCGCATCCCTAACTGTCATTGCCAAAAGAGAACCAATCACAATGTAAAGAAGCGCAATCAATCAATATCGAGAAAAGCGTGAGAAAACCTGAGAAAACAGGCAGTTCATGTCATTTACTCTTGTGCTATAGAATCTTATTGTTGTCGTTAAGATTATAATTAGAAGATTGATTAAATAAATTATTGTGTTTTACATAACATTGGTGTCATTCCGATACCGCTACTCGATTTAAAAATGGTTTTCGATGAAGATGGATGCGCTTTGTCCATTCTGGCGAGCGTATTTTTAACAATCTTATATGTTGCAAGTTTATATGTATGGAGGTCGAAGTTAAGCAGGTAAAGAGGAAAAAAATAAGTATGTCTTTTAAAGTTTTTAAGAAATAAATGTATTAAACGTCCATATTTTATAGGGACCATCCCACTACTATCAAGAGACGATTCTTCAGTGTCTCCTGCGTCATGGTTGTTGCGCCCATTGTGACACGGCTGTTCCTTAAAGATTCAACATTAAATAAAGGCGACATGTACGAACAATTAGGACTGCGGTTGTCTGGACTTCTCTTTGCTTTTGTTACCCCACTAGCTCTTACTATGATTTTGTTCATGGGCCCACTGACTATGCATTTCTTATCTGGTGGTTGGAAGATATATATACGTAAGTTTCAAAAATTGTAATATCACTATCACTTTCTATATGTTAATTTAACCATCTTGGCTTTTGAACAACATTGCTGGCGCATACAGTATATGTACTTGGCATCTCATCATATTTACTGTGTTGCTTAACTGTTTATCCTAGATTTATGTTTCTACTATGGTGTAGTAAATAATTTACAAAAATCTTGCTGATCCTAATTTTGTAGGACAGACTTGTTTAATATTCTAGCTTATAATATTTATTATAAGAGGAAATATTGGAATAAATTGATAATTTACACCATTTAGGTTTTTTTTTTCGAAATATTCCAATTGGAAACCTTTATGGATTTTTTTTAGATCCAATCTATTGGTTTGCAAGCTGGCAAGATCTGACCTGGGTGAGGAACCATATAATGGCACCAATCAGTGAGGAGTGGGTGTTTCGGGCCTGCATGATGCCTTTGCTACTGCAGTGTCTTGAGCCATACACTGCTGTGTTTGTTGGTCCTTTGCTGTTCGGAATTGGTAAGTTTATACATGTATCTTGTGTTTAAACTATGCATTTTGTGGCTGGCGATATGTTTATCAACCTTTTTAGATTTTGTTGTTCAAAGTAAAAATTAAATTCCTTCTTCATTTTGGGTATTGAACAATGAGTTGAAAAATCACTTTTTTGCATGGATGTCTGGGAATTCTACAACTCAAATCTTCTATCACTCTTTGGGATTGATTTTATAGGATCTTGTCTTTATCATTTGCAGCTCATTTCCATCACATGTTTGAACAAATTAAACTTGGACTTGATCTTCGCTCTTCAATAATGATCTCAGGTAATTTTAATATGATTATTAGTTTGTTTTTGTGATAATACTGCAGTTTTTATACAAAATTAATGATTCAAATAATCTAGCTTCTTTATCAATATTCTGAATGTAAACATTTATTATGGATGGATGGATATTTGTTGGAAGGTATCTCCAGAACTTATCAATACATCTCAGTGATTTTAGCATAGATATAGAATGATTAGAAGATATAAGTATTCTGGAAGAACACATAGAATAATTTTAATTTTTTAAGTCCACACGACAACATCAGCAGCAAAAGTGGTTACTGATGTGTCTGGTTGATTTTGATTAACACAAACATTATTCTTACAGCTTTCCAGTTTATGTATACATCTCTCTTTGGTGCATACTCCGCCTACCTATTCCTTCGAACTGGTGAGTCAATTTTAGTACAGTTACTTAAAAACAGGTTTTAAGCTTTGCTCTTTTTGTAAGAAATTTTAAATAATTTGTCTTAATTTCATAAATATCTTAAATTTGACGAAACTTGGTTTAAATGTCAATAGTGAGGTAAATTAGTTATTAATGCATTTTTAGGTCATTTCGTCGCACCTCTCGCTGCTCACATGTTCTGCAACCACATGGGTTTCCCCAACTTTGGAGATATCCCTTACTACCCTCTCACTAAGCGTCTCCTCATCATCAGCAACATGGTGTTAGGCTTCATTATCTGGTGCAATCTTCTCACACCGTTAACCGAACCCGCGTATTATGACAACAAATTGTATTGGCCCTCGCGATTCCAAACACTGAATGATATCTCATTATTCTAAATTAGTAGTGTTTTATTATGATTGAGGATTCTCTCATATTATTCATTGATGTTGTGAATTCAATGTGTCCAAGCTATAACACGTAAGGTTGAATTAAATTATGACATGACTGCAGTAACGGTTTTGGCTGTACAAGTGCTCTGGGCGAGACTTCTATCGATTGTGTAATTCACAGACCTTGTAGCATCCCTTACCAGCGCCCTGGGCGGATGCCCAACCGCGCCCTACCCTAAGGCCCTGCATGACTGGTTAATCCAACATAAACGATATTAATATTCAATAATAACAGTACATAGTGTAAGTTGTATTAGGAAGAAAATTCGATACTGTGCCGGTGTACTGGCGGAACACTACCGTTACTAAAATGTCGACGTTTATGTCCCCTCACTAATCATTCCGACACTTGACTTTGTAATGAAAGCGCGCCATTCGCGCCAAAGGATTCTAACAAATAATGTCTAAAAGTTGTAATATTAATTCAACCTTATTAATGTTAATAAACCCCGCTTTTCTCCCAAAACATAGTGATTCGATAATATAGTATAAAATACATATATTCTAGTATGGTATATCTCTATAAATATTTTTTTAATTTTTTTTTTTATATTTCGCAATCTGGATTTTTAAAAGTTCCTTATGAATGTAATTTTGCTATAAACTGATTTTTAACAAATATTTATTTCCATGTATATTATACAATGTGATGTATATGTTTTCATGCTTTTTTCGGTGCTAAATTGTTTATTTCTATATACTATAATGTACTTATAAAAAATTAAGTTACCGTAACATAAGCTTTTTACAATGTTTTTTTATATGTTGTAAAGTTTATGTTGGACATATCGCTTATAGCTTTATTATTTTTTTTTTAAAAAGTGCCATAATGTTAAATGTTTATTTTTAATAGGTGTATGTAATTGTTCCATCTGATATTGTATATTAATAAATAATAGCGAAAACAGAAAAAGAAAATAGATTAATGTTTACTTTTATGTTAGAAAGAGAGGTTGGTATTGGTTAGAGAAGGATGAACGATAAAAGATTGCGATCTTTTATCGTTCAGGAAGAGAAGTACAAAAAGAAAGAAGTACATTTATATCCCATTCCAAATGAACGCCAAAATATTGTTAATGTTCACAGCTATTGTATTGTAAAAAAAAAGTGTTTACCTTTGAAATATTTCAATGTAATAAATTTAGCGTACAATGTCCGGATGAATCCATTCTTAAAAAAAATAATTTGGAATAGGGGGAAATTTAGTATTGTCTTTCCATGCACAAAATCTCTATTTACTACTCATTCGTTATGGTCGTTGAGGGTTAGCTTAAGTGACCATATTAAGGCAGTGAGTCACGTTCGATTTAGTAATATTGCTAGTAGAAGCAAAAATGTCAGTTCTATACATTTTGATGATAATACTGTCAGATGACGTCACTATTCGAATGTCTTGTCAATGTTGCCAGTTATGTTATATTGAGTTTGTTAAAACATACGACAGGGTCTATGCATGGGTATGTAATGATAGTATCGCACTAGTCAATTCATAAGTTGTTTTTAGTTAATAACCGTTTTCCGGTTGTATTAATAATGTGATTTTAAAGACGTAAATATTAATACGATTAATTTTGAGTTTTTAAACTTGTGTGGAATGTAAACGTAATCGTGGAATAACTCGGCTGAAAAGTGTCGTCGTTAGCTCATACGAGAGTTACCTCTTGGGGAAAAACTCATTACGCTGATCGGTTAGGAGAAACACCTGCTCATACCCCATTGAGGGAATCTGAGTCTACTGCAAGGGATGACTTGGCCATAGTCAACCATGGCCCAGTGTGGGTTGACATCACACATAACTTTGAATTTCTTCTCCGATATCTGGAGGTTGCATCCAGATGTTTTCCTTCATAGTAAGAACGTCGGATAAACATATTTTTGTCTCTTTTGATTTCTAAGAAAATGAAGGGATTGAAGCATGTCTGGAAGTTTTTCAGCAGTGGAAAGTCAATGTTATGAACGTGTTTCGAAATATTTTTAAAACAAATAAAATAAGACATGAATACAACCGTGCCATATTTTAACATTTTGAAATAACCATGTAATTTACATGTGATTATTCTAATGCAGTTATATGCGCGTCCATTATGTAAATCATTCAATTATTTTATGATAATACTCAGACGTTTGTATGTATTATGATTTGAACTGTATGGAGTATGGTTTTGGTTGAAAAGATGTTTAAAAATTGATAAGAATATTCCTGTCTCAGCTTGAATATATCTTAAGCGTAAATAATTTTCATTACGCGATAGATCTAAAGTTCGTCATATTATGACATCCATCTATTGTCTCTGACTGACTAAACATACTTTGTATTTTCACGACTGCTTGCTTTATGTGTAAAGGAGATAGAAAATTATACCTTCCATAAACAAACTTTATAAATTGCCTAGTCAATGGCGGTTTGTTTTTTTTTTTGCAATATTTTAAGTCACGTTAAATTGCAAAATGTATTTGATATTTGGCTAACATTTAGCTATTCTTAATTATTTACAAAATAAAAAAAAACAGATGATTTTCATGTAAAAAAACTATCCTTCAAGATACGTGGCCAAAGTTTACATTTCTCATATACGTATATTTTGTTAAAAAAAAACAGAACAGTATTAAAGTCTTATAAAAATATTCTATCTTCGAAATAAAATTGATATGTGTATTCCTATATTTATTGATGTCTTAGATGTTTGCTACCTAGTAGCCAGTAATTAATTTTACTATTTAACACGTTTCATGCCACTACGGTTTACTATTAACCTCAACTAGCAAAGCCGTGGCACTGAACGTGTTAATGATAACAGTATAAATTCTGTATAATAAAGTTTATTTAAGTAAATTTACTAATAAAACTATTTATTTAATTAAAAATCGTCAGTAAAATTTCGAGGTCTCCTTACGATAGTAAATTTAATTTTTTTATTTTTTTTTCTACTTAAAAATCTAAGAAATCGTAGTTATACAGACTATATACTGTTATTGTTATAGATGTTAATTTTAAGATATTTAAATGGTAACTTAATAAAGTCTTCAAAGCAATTTTTGTTTTTTTAATCTCCAAACATATACTTATAGATATAACGCCAAAATTTATCTAAAGGTTATAATACATTTATTCACGAAAATAGAAAAAAAAGATAAAATAATTCATACTATCAGTGGTATTTTATAAGTCAGTAAGGGATCTTACTAATATAAATTCGGATGTTTAGATGGATGGATGTTAGAAGGTATCTCCAGAACGGCTGCATGGATCTAGCTGAAATTTGATACGTAGAACACATAGTCTACAATTTTTTTTTAATTTTGCGCGGACGGAGTTGCCGGTGACAGCTAGTTTTAAATAAAAGTCAACATTTAAATATATATTTACTGTAGTAAAATGGTATCAGAGTGATTGTAAATTATTTGATATTCAATTTATGTCAACATCAATTATAATAACAAAAAAATACGTAAACATCTCATAAAACTAAGATATTTTTTTACAGACACTACTTACATTATCCTTAAAAGAGTAAAACTTTTAATTTTCAAAAATAAAATCTATGAGAATATAAGATTTAGTTCCACCCTTGAGCTTGCAGACTTTCTACAAAAAAACTTCTGCCTTCAAATTCTATAATGAAAAGAACCCGAACACAATAACATAACATGCAGCACAGCATATTCGAACCCAATAAAGCTAAGCTATGAACAGACTTAAGAAAGTATATACCTCAATATCGCTTTGCTTCTCATGTTATTGTGCACGGGTTGTACAATTATGAAAATACTAAAATAGCTGCTGTGGCCCAAAAGATCTAACGACATGATTTTTTAAATATTCAAAGTTCATTGCCTGTGCAAAAACATCTCTTTACTTTGAGAAAACATACTATGTTTTTAATCGACTTCAAAAAGTAGGTTTTCAATTCGTCTGTATGTTTTTTTTTCTTCAAATTATTGTTTCGGCAATGAAAACGCACGGTTACATGCATATTTTATGAAAATACAATGATCAGTGTTTCCTAGGCGGACACTTTTAAAATGAGTCTATACAATAAAATATCAAAATGAGAAAATAAACGATTCAGTCTTTACCCCATACGAAAGCGATAGCAACATACTTTTTTTTATATTTTTTTTACAAAAATAATAATACCTAATTTATATTCAATATATAATATTTAAATTATTGATCTCGTAAAATGACATTTAATTTACATAATAACTACATAACTGCAAAATTATATAATGGTCTTTGTAAAAAAAATTTTTTTTTCGAAAGAATCTACGTACGTATTTAAGTAATACTGTGAAAAATTCCGCCATACGTACAATATTTAACAAGCTAATTACTAATAGTGCGCAATAACAATACATATAAATGATGACGTCACACCGGTTATTATTTCTTTCGTATTAGCAAAGTTGAGGACAATTAAATTACTACTCAATAATTATATTTAATTGTTTGTACCAAATACAGTCCAGTACAAAGTAGTTATATATTTTTATATTTATAAACCCTTGTAGGATCTCTTTGTTGTCCATCTGTGTGTCTGTTTTTCAAGACCCTGTTCTCAAGTACGCGTGGAGGTATCAAGCTGGCCTTTTTTTTCTTCAAGGAACTTCGTATTTCATGAGGATTGTTATTGCATACTTGTAGTAAATACATACAGTTAAATTTAAAAAGTGTAACCTAATTATAACAAAATGAGACAATAATAACATCAAAGTTAATATCATAATTTTTTAATGTACACGAACTACCTCAATTTTTAATTTACTAACTACTTTTTAAATCAATTCATAACACTATCGAGTTAATTTAAATTCTATAATTCACTTATAAATTCGATTTTAGATGCAGCAATATTTCAAATATAAACGCATGTCAAGGCTTACTTCTAACTGTGGGTTTCTGACATTGAAATCTCGGTATAAAACATATCGTGTCTGTCATTTTCTTTGACAATACGGAGATAACAATATATTTTACACGGAGATTTTGGACTCCGAAATCCACGGTAAGTACAGTGGCCTTTGTTTGTGGCACTTTCCACTTTAAGGAATGTACCCATACTACGTGACCCGTTGACGGGAGGAGGGCGGAGTCCTTAAAATACTACGGTCAGTCACAGGAGCAGGCGGGGGGTGGCTCAGATTTTAGTTACGTGGTCGTTAGTTGTTTTTTTCATAATACATAATTCACTAGTAATTTCAGTATGCATGCAATCTTATGCTATAAAGAAGAGTATGAGCCAATTTTTTTTTTCAATTTTTGTCTGTGAAATGATTAAAAATCATAATTATGAATTACTATGTCAAAACTAAAGAGTGGGGAGAG